AAGCTGGATGGCCAAAGGTGCAACTTTGTCATAGATTCTGCATCTCAGCAAACCCTTGTGAGTATCAAGGTGCTGGATCGCAAAAGAGTACCAGAAGCTATACAGAAGCTCTGTGATGTGACAGGACATTATGCAAGGTTGTGGGGACCAGTAACTATTGAGCTCATGGGCATAAAGAACAGACATAAAGTATACTTGGCTGACATTGAAGACCAATGCATATTAAGGTTGGACTACTTACTGCCGAGGAAGTGTGTAGTTAACTTCGATAAAATGACGATTGGGAACAACAAAGGCCAAATTCCAGTAAGTGTTGCTGCATCTGTTGATTTGCATGTCACATCACTTAAGTCAACTACAACATCCCCTATGTCAGAGAAGATAATTTGAAGTAGAATAAAAGAACATCCCCAAGGAAGCCCGATGCTTGTGGAAGCAGTGGAAGAACCATCCAGCCCAGCAGATGTGAAGATCGGAAGGTCCCTTGTGGCAGGTCATCAAGTAGTACCCATAACTGTGGCCAATGTGAACAGACACTTAGGAAAGGGGCATTGTTGGGTGTGTGCCAGGAGGTAGAGCCAGTCAGTGTTAAGGCAAGAAATACAACCATAAAGAAAGGACATCCACTCCCAGAACATTTAACTGACCTCTATAAGAAGAGCATAGTCCATTTGTCATCATCACAGGCTCTTCAGGTTAGAGAACTATTGGCGAATTATGCAGACGTCTTTTCGAAAGGAGATCATGACCCCGGCTGCACAGACCTTGTACAGCACAGAATAAGCACAGGCAATCATCGTCCAATAAAGATCCCTCCGAGGAGAATAGCTCCAGCAAAGCGACAAGAGATAGAGAAGGTCAGGGACGGTCTAATTAAGGAAGGGATAGTCGAGAAACCAGATAGTCCCTGGTCAGCTCCCGTCGTGTTAGTCCAGAAGTGGACTTCAGGGCTCTTAACAGTATAACCGAAAAAGACTCATACCCACTGTCAAGAATTGATGATACTC